AAGAACAGGCGCGGCTGAGCAATGCCACCAGCACCAGTAGCTCCAGCACCACCAGCAGCTCCAGCACCTCCAGCAGCTCCAGTACCTCCAGCAGCTCCAGGACCCTCAGCAGCTCCAGCACCGCCAGTAGCTCCAGGACTCTCAGCAGGTCCAGTACCGCCAGTAACCGCAGGACCCTCAGCACCTCCAGCACCCTCAGCACCTCCAGCACCTCCAGCAGCAACACCGCCAGCCCCAGCAGCTCCAGTACCCCCAGTACGAGCACCTCCGGGACCAGCGACACCAGCAAAAGAACCCCCAGCAGTAGAGCCCAGAGGTGCAGAAGTGCGACGCTGACGGCGACCGTACTAGTCGTGCAGCTGCTGGGAGGTAAGGGGCACACGCGAACGAAGACGACTGCTCCAGGGAGACCGCGTAACAGCAGTCTCAGAACCCTGAGGCGACTCACCCCCAGACTCAGCACCCCCAGGCTCCGCACACGCAGGCTCAGCACCCCCAGACGGAGCACCCCCAGACGCAGCACCTCCAGGCTCCTCACGCGTAGGCTCAGCACCTCTAGGCTCCACACGCTCAGCGCCCCCAGACTCAGCACCCCCAAGCTCCGCACCCCCAGGGACAGCACCACTAGCAACAGGACCTGAGTCACCAGTGACCTCAACAGGCGCAGGCGCGGGGGGGTCTACCTGAGAGACACCTGAAGGAGCAGGACCTGGCGCGGGGAGGGGGTCTACCTGGGGAGGACCTGGGGCAAGAAAGAGCGGCGGGGGGGGGGAGGAGCAGTGCGGTAGGGGAAGAGGCGGTAAAAGGGGACAGACTCGTCAAAGGTGACGTCCTGAGACGCAAAGACACGGCGCGAGGCGGGGTCGTAAAACTGCCAGCCAGGCGCGTCAGGGACAAAGCCAAGGAAGACACAAGGAATGGCGCGAGGGGAGAGCTTGTCCACAGTGGTATCGCGGACAAAGGCACGAGCACCCCAGACCCGGAAACGCGACGCGTCGCCAACCTTCCCCGTCCACAACAGTGTGGGCGAGGTCTCCGGCAAGGAGACACGGGGCCAAAGGTTGAGCTGATGCGCGGCGTACCTGACCGCAAACGGCCACAGAAAATGGGGGGCAGCCGCATGGATCATGGAGGTACGAGCGACTTCCATGACTAAGCCAATGCGGCGCTCAGCAACCCCATTCTGCTGCGGAGAGGCCGGAAGCGTGAAAGTCTGGCGGATGCCGTGCTCCGCACAGAAGGCTGCCAAGAGGTCTGAGAAGAACTCACCACCTCGGTCAGAGTGCAGACGTAGGACAGGAAAGTCCGTCTGGAACCGCTCGCGGAGCTGGAGACGAGTAGCGCGAATCCAAGGGATCAAGACATCAGGGACATCCCCCTTGCGCTGCAAGGGGAAGACCGTGGTGTAGCGCGTGTAGTCGTCGACAACCAGCAGGAAGTACCGCTCGTGGCCCTGTCCACGGACGCGGGCTGGGCCCCACACGTCCAGGTGGAGAGTCTGCAGTGGAGCCTCTGTGGGAGGGAACGAGGAGGAGTGAGGAGCGGCGCGCTGCCGCCCCTCGACGCAGGGAATGCAGGGCGGCGCAGGCGAGGGAGGGAGGGGAGGCAGAGACCTGGGAAGCCCAGAAACCAGGAGGCGGGAGTGCATGCTGCGTAGGCGAGGCAGGGAGGGGTGACCAAGGCGGTGGTGCCACAGGAGAGTGTCGTGCGACAGCCGGCGACACTCACACTGTGTAGCTACCTGAGCAGACGCGTGCAACTGGGGAGACAAAGGGGCGGAGCGTGACGCAGTGGTGAGGGTGTACAGACTGGACCCCGGCGCACGAGCGAACGTGGCCAGGTGGCGACCAGACTGGGAGCACGTGCAAATCGCCACACGCTGCCGGCCAGGGGTGAAGGTGTCAACCCCCACATCCTGGAGGACAGCGTTACTCACCAAGTTCGTAGAGAACGAGGGGAGGTGGAGACCAGACAGCTCACCAGACGGGACCGCCGGACACGGAAGCACAGTGGAAGACCGTGCAAGCACTGGGCCCCCAGAGGGGTCAGCCAGTGAGACAGGAACAGGTGCAGGGAGGGGAGTGACTGTGGTAGTGTCGCGAAAGAAACAGCGGGAAGCACCAGAGTCAAGTGTAAAGGTGTGCAAGGCCTGTGCAGGCGCAGTACCAGGGGGAGCAGACTCACAAGCACCAAATGCTGCAGGGGCTATACCAGGGACTATACCAGGAGCCGGGGGCACACACAAGTAGCAGTCACCCTCAGCACTGACAGACAATGCATACATAGCAGCAAGAATTGCCTCATAGTCAAGATCAAAGATAGGGACATCACGCCTAAGCAAGTCTGCCCAGTTGGGGAACTCAGGAGCATCAGGAAACTTGGCACGCCAGGCGTCGCTAAGTCGAGCGAAGCAGCGCTGCTCAGTGTGAAAACCTGTGCACTGGCGACCAGTGCGGGGACCAGTGCGGATAATATAGGGGCAGCGACCAGGACCCCCAGAAACCCCACGCCTGGCATACCAGTCAAGAAGCTGCTGGGAAGTGGGGGTCTGGCGCTGACGCTGCTGCTGCTGGTGCTGCTGCTGCTGCTGCGGCTGCTGCTGGCCCTGACCACCACTGCCACCACCGCTCCCTCCTCCCCCACCGCCGCTGCTCCCCCCTGCACCGCTCACAGTGCCTCCGCCGCCCCCACCACCACCTCCACCACCTCCACCCCCACTACCACCCCCACCACCTCCACCTCCCCCGCCACCTGCACCACCGCCACCTCCACCGCCACCCCCACCGCCCCTGCCACCCCTGCCGCCCCTGCCGCTGCGACGCTTCCCTCTAGGAGCGGAAGCAGCTCCGTCCTCCTCAGCACCAAGGTAGTCGTGAGCAGCAGCTGCGGATGCGTAGGAGGGGGTGAGAGGGGAGGGGGAGCACCCCTCAAAAAGGGGAGAGCGGGGAGTGCCACGAGCAGCACCTACAGCGAGGATGTTCTTCTCTGCTGCGAGGAGGTGCTTCTCGAAGTCGTCAACAGTGAGAGTGGTGGGGTCTAGCGCTAGGAAGTGGTCCCTGACAGAGCTAAGAGTGTCAGGGAGGCGGGTGACGAGGAAATAGAGAGTGAAGTACATCGGGGGGGGGGTTTGCGGCGCAGAACTCGGCTGAAAGAGCGGCACAAAAGCGAGAGTCAGTAGCACGTAGGTGAGAAACTAGGTCCTCAGCAGTGGTGAACGAGGAAAGATCGGGGAACAGGTACGGTAGCATGAGTCGACCTATGGCTGCAGTGGCCGGGGAGGAGTAGCGCGCAACTACAGCGTCGTACAGTGTCTTAGCAGTTCTGTGCTGGCTGAAGTGCGCTCGCTCAGTAATCGGCAGGTGGTTCCTAATAGCTAGGCGTGCAGCAGCATCACGAGTCTGCCACTGGGAGCGTTCTAGAGCAGGAGCATCAGCAGCAGGAGCAACGGCAGTGCCAGAGACGTAATCAAACAGGGAAACGCTCTCTTTGGCATCAGTCAGAAGGAACAGCTGGAGATCGTCTAACCACACAGCGAACTCGAGGGGACGACCGTCAGGCTCGAATGCGAGAACGTTGGGCGTCGCCATATTGGCTTAAGGCAGGAGGCAGCAGGCAGCAGGCAGCAGACAGAGGCAGCAGGCACCAGGTAGGAGGCACGTGGCAGGCAGGCGGTAGCAGGCAGCAAGCAGGCAGGCGGCAGCAGGCAGGAAGTAGCAGGCAGGCAGCAGGCAGGCAGCAGGCAGGTGGTAGGCAGGCTGCAGCAGGCAGGCAGTAGGCAGCAAGCAGCAGGCAGGCAGCAGGCAGGCAGCAGGCAGGCTGCAGGCAGGCGGCAGGCAGGCTTCAGCAGGCAGGCAGCACGCAGCAGGCAGGCAGCAGGCAGGCTGCAGGCAGGTGGCAGGCAGGAGCGGCTGCAGCAGGCAGCAGGCAGCAGCAGGCAGCAGCAGCAGGCAGGCAGCAGGCAGCAAGCAGCAGGCAGGCAGCAGGCAGCAAGCAGCAGGCAGGCAGCAGGCAGGCAGCAGCAGGCAGCAGCAGGCAGCAGGCAGCAGGCAGCAGCAGCAGGCAGCAGGCAGCAGCAGGCAGCAGCAGGCAGCAGGCAGCAGCAGGCAGCAGGCAGGCTGCAGGCAGGTTGCAGGCAGGAGCGGCTGCGGGCAGCAGGCAGCAGCAGCAGCAGGCAGCAGGCAGCAGCAGCAGGCGGCTTGCTGCGCTAAGCTGCAGGCTGCGCGCGTGGCTGCGTGCGGCGACGGGCTGCGCGGGCTGCGGGCCGCGTGCGGCTCCTGGCTACGCGTGGCGACGAGCTGCGCGCGGCTCCTGGCTGCGCGTGGCGACAAGCTGCGCGCGACTGCGTGGCTGCGCGTGGCGACGGGCCTCGCGCGACTGCGGGCGGCGTGCGGCGGCGGGCTGCTCGGGCGTGGCCTAAACGGGCTGCGCTCGGGCGGCGTAAGTGGCGCGCGGGCTGGGCCTAAACGGGCCGCGCGAGCTGCGGAAGTGGCGCTCGGGCGGGGCCTAAACGGGCCGCGCGAGCTGCGTAAGAGGCATGCGCGGCAAAAAAAAGGGCCGCGCGCGGGCAGCCGAGGCGCGCGCGGGCAGTAGGCAAGGCAGGTGAGGTGGGCCCTAATCCTAGGTCCTAAGGACCTACGCTCTAGATGCCATGTCGAAAGGCTAGGGATGGTTCAACTATCGAGAGTGTTGGTACAAGAGAAAAAATCTAAGGGGTTGTACCCCACAGTGAGTACCCCACTACAGCCTATCTAACTTAAACATATAAACATATGTTTGACACATCCCCAAGCACTAGCAGCAGCTGACTGCTGAGTGAAGCTGGCCTGCACCAGCTGCCTCTACTGCTTCTGCACAATCATTTGCTGCTGGAAAAGAATTCATGTTCTCTAGAATGTTATGCTGTGGACGTTCAACTTGCTGTGCTGTGCCCTTTCGCCCAGTTTATTGACATTACCACAAATGGCTCACCAGTCTCCCACGCAACCACCATCCTCACGCACCTGCGCCTCCGCCTTGCCCTTGTTGACGTCCTCCTTCCTGCCCTCCTCTGTCAGCCGCTCCAATGCATACTCCAGCTGCGAGTCCCCATACCCCGCCAGCTCCGCCACCTCCTGCTCGCACATGGCATACGAATCAAAGGGATTGGGTGGACCGAATGCAGAAGCACCAGAGGGGGTTTCCTGGTCGGTCGTGCCTGCTGCACTCACTGGTATGGCCAGCGGGCCTGCTGCACTCACTGGTATGGCCGGCGGGCCTGCTGCACTCACTGGTATGGCCGGCGGGCCTGCTTTACTCACTGGTATGGCCGGCGGGCCTGCTGCACTCACCTGGTATGGCCGGAGGGCCTGCTGCACTCACCTGGTATGGCCGGGCCTGCTGCACTCACCTGGTATGGCCAGGCCTGCTGCACTCACTGGTACGGTCGTACCTGCTGTGCCTACCTGGTATGGCCGTGCCTGCTGCACTCACCTGGTACGGCCGTTCCTGCTGCACTCACTGGTACGGCCGTGCCTGCTGCACTCACCTGGTACGGCCATGCCTGCTGCACTCACCTGGTACGAGGCCCCCAGAGTCCACCAGGGGGACTTGAGTGCAATGCGCGCTGCATCCCTCGCCTCTGTTGGCCTTCCAACTCTGAGCCCATGGACGGAAGGAGGAGCGATGGAGGCACGGAGACAGATGGAGGGGCGAAGGGAGACAAAAGGAGGTGAGAGGAAGCTTCAGCAGTGCGAAGCATGGGTAAGAACCTCCCTTACATGCTTACTAACAACCTCTCTCAAAACATGCTGTCAGGTCTGCTGGCTCTGCTCCTGTAACAGTCACCCTGACAGCCACTCTGGCTTCACCTGAGCAGCAGCTGCGCGTTGAAGGTGAAGGGATGTGCGAAGCCTGGAAAGTGCTTACGCGCATAGAACTCCCCCGCCACCAGCGCTGACACCTGCAGTGACGCACAAGCATGTGAGGATCAACTTCTGTGATCAAATGCGTGTGTGCAAGGAAGGGGGAAGACGAGGGCTGTGAGAGGAAGAGAGCTGCTGGAGGAGGAGGGCCGACAGTCTAGGTATGCGTGCAGCGTGCACGTGGCTTGCAGCCTGGGATGGATGCATGCTACATGCCGCATGCACCGTACCTGGTCGCCCTGCTCCAGATGCCGCAGAGCCAGCCTCTCAAGGACGTCCGGAAACATGCCCACCTGCCAGCACAACTCGTGAAGAGGGGGAAAGGGGAAGGGACGCAGGGATGGAAGTTGAGGGAGAGGACAAAAGAGAAGATGGAATGAGGAAGTTGAAAGTGCAACGAAGGAGAGAGAGCAGAGCTGCACAAAACTGGCTTCACGCATACCTTGGTGGTCAGATAGGCATCAAGGGACTTGGCCTTGGCCGCTGCGAAGTCACCAGGCGAATACAGCCTGCGCCCCTCCTCCCCTGCAGCTTCCCCCACCCTCCCCGAGTCCCCCTCCGCGCTGCCCTCCCGCGCGCCCACGTCCTCCTCCACGAGCGCCCTCTGAATGTACTCGTCCGCCTGTGGGGGGCGGGTGTATGGGGAGAGGGAGGAGCGGAGGGAGTGGGAAAACCATGGCAACAGACGTGAGTGATAAGATCCCTTAAACCGCATTGCTGATACTCCCGAAACCCTTACCAACACGCCATGCCACGCCATCCCATGCCCATCATCAACCCCTGCCATGCTGCGCCATGCCATCCCAGCCGTGGCTACTCACCGATCGTGCAACCAAGACGCAGCCGCCGCCCTCTCCCACGCGGATAACGGGCATCTGCATGCTGACGTGGACAGAGCACAGGGGGAGTCAGCATTGCGTCCCTTCATGGAGAAATACACGAAAGAGGGAGTGGGAAAAACTTCTGGAGGGAGGGAGGGAGAGAGACTGTGCCGTTCTGCTGAAACGAATGCTGCTCTGATGCTGACGAGCAACGCGCCGAGCCATGGGAACGAGCGCACTTACCCCAGGGGAGCGGTGGGCCAGCGGAGCAGCGCCGTCACCGTGCCTGGGGGAACGCAGGGGAGGGCACGGCGGAGAGGGACTCATGACAAATGTTGGGGGACGGTTGCTAGGGGCGCGCAGGGGGGGAGCAACGGCGGGAACTGGGGCACAATCGGGACGGAAAGACAGGGAAAGGAACATGCGAGGAAGCGGGTGTTGCGCCATAATGGGGATGAGTGTGAGCGTGAGTGTGAGCGGCCCTGTTCTGCGGGCCGCAAGGCGACCAGAGCTTACCGGTGGCTGGGTTTCGCGTGAGTGGGACGGCCAGCGGTACCATGCCCCGACGATCAGCGGGGGACACGGGCTGCTCGCCTGCGCATTAGGTTCGCGGGAGGCGTGACGGTGAATGGGGGAGAAAAAAAGGGAGGAGGGAGGACGAGCGAGGTGGAGTGGCAAGCGGAGATTGAAGTTGCGCCGTTGACAGCCGCATTGCATGGTTTTCAAGTGGTCATGCCGTCGGAGAGTCGCGGAAACGGGAATAGAGCATGAACCAAGCGACAATGTGGTATCCCGGAGCCATCCAATCATTCGAGAGCTGCCCGGATGCGCTCACCCTGCGCCTGGAGCACTCGGATCAGCGCGCTCAGCAGCGGTGGAGGATCGATCGCCGCGACGTCGCGGAGGAAGGCGGCGTGGTCTGTGCGGAGGGCGGGCAGTACAGCGCAATGATGGTCGAAGGAGAATGCCATGGCAATGATAGACGGAACAGGTAATCTGATCCTGAGAAGCTTAGATTTCAGCCGTGAGCAGCCGGGAGGGACTGGGTATGATGTCGGAAGGAGAATGCTATGGCGACGACTGGACGGGCAATGGACTGAAGGGATAACGGACGGTACGCGAATGACCGTACTTCGGTCACTGTACTTAGGTCGCTACAGGTTGTTTGACGCACTCGCAATGAGAATTTAAGCGCCTGAAAACACACCCGCACCTTCCGTCGCCACTGATGCTCGACAGCAGTGTCTCCTCGTAGCGCCATGGCGGCCATGTCGTCTCACGTCACCGCCGCGTCGCGTCGCGACGACGAATCTGTCTGAGTACCGCGAGCTCGCAGAGAGGGCCACGGCCTTAAATACAGGTATATGTGACGCTGCGATTGAACCTCGGTTAGGCTCTGAATTCGAGTGCGATGTTAGAGTAGCCGTTGACGCGATATCGCGAGCTAGCTGACCCGTCGCAATGGCCATGGCTGGAATCCTTACTCGTGTATCTAGAACTCGAGGTCGCTGGAAACTGGATAACGGCGGCGCTTGATCCCCTTAATTAATCTACAACCTAATACTGGTAAGTGATCGCCTCAAGGAATCTCAAGTACACAGTGAGCCGCGGGTACTGACAGGATGGAGGCGGCGAGCAGGGAGCGGACAGTCACTAGCCAATGGCTGGTCAGTGCGCTTGCTCGGACACGGAGAAATCAAGGGTGGAAATTCGAGGACGGAATGTCGAGGGTGGGATGGTGAATCTGTGATGCTGCGAATTGGCGAAGTGCCCAAACCGTGGTGGTAAGCCACTCAAACATAGAGGGGTGGTCCGCTTCAATCATGTGAGCTCGCAAGAGAACCTCAATTGAAAATCTGTTCAGTCGGTTACCACATATTCGTGAGCCACCAAAACTTTCACGAAATCAGATGAGTAACCTGTACATCCTTTCGCAATTTATATATTCGCAGTGCTAATTCCGTCCTTCCCCAATCCCCTCCCCTCTGCCCTCCCACTCCCACCCACTCGCCCTAATTTCCCCCCTCGAGCCTCTTTCTTCCTCCTTTTCCTTCCTCTCTAGGACCGTCTTCCCTCACCCCTCCACACTCCACCCTAGACTTTCGCAATGGCGCCTCCCGCCAAGAAGGCTGCGGCCGGGTCCAAGGGAAAGAGGAAGCCGCACAACTTCGTGATCGACTGCACGAAGCCGGTGGAGGACAAGATAATGGAGATCGCGTCGTTCGAGAAGTTTCTTCAGGACCGGATTAAGGTCGACAACAAGGCGGGCGTGCTGGGCGACACGGTGAAGGTCACTAAGGACAAGGCTAAGATCCACGTCACCGTCGATGGACCTTTCACCAAGAGGTGCGTGTTCTAGCCGCCACGTCAGCCTGATTCGCGTATATGCTTACGTTATTCTCATTGACTCGGATTCAAACCTTTTGACAAGTCGCGCCATACCAGTCTGCACGTTTAGTTAGGACCCTGGTTGCATTCTATGTTACGGAAACCCTCACACACATCCCCCCTCCCAGACCCCACTCTTCCATCCATCAGCACGCACTATGCTCGGCCATATTCCAGGTTCATAGTCGATAATATTGCTTAGTCCATAAAATCTGACACTCTTTTCCGGGAGCATCTCGCTCGTCGTGTTGGGCGATGCAGCCAGAACCTCATTGAGGATGACGAACAGGAGCGTTGTATTGCCCGGCAGTGATTAGCGTTACTGGTCAAGTAGCGTAAGGTTAGCTCCGCAGTGGCGGGTAACCGTCGCGATTGCAGCAGCCGTAACGGCTATCCATGCGCTAGCATACTAGGTGGTCAACTGATAGAGCGAATCGAGTTGATCGTTCAGAGCTGCTTTCAGCTTGGGGTGTGGCTTCACAGAACCGTTTTTTCCAGATGCCGGAAACCGTTTCTCATTCCCTCGGAGCGTCGCTTCGCAGAGCAGTCCTTTGGGATAGTTCGGGTTTCACGCCGAACAGGTCGAAGCTACTCACTGATCTCAATAGCTGCAATTCAACTGCTTGCGTTAGCGCGTATAGGCTCGGCGCGACATTTGCGACAACTTTCGACTCTCGCAACAAGCAGCGAGTTACTGATAGTTCATGCATCAAGGGTGAATTGCATTCCTACCGCACGCACTTCTAAAAGTCGCACGTTTAGCATGCCGGGGATGACACGTCAGGGTTTAACAGAATGACTTCGAAGATGAAATAGAGGCCTCCTTCAGCTGACTCATTAGCAGGGCCGGGGAGGGAGCAGGGTGGGGGCCCAGGGAGATTGGAAGGTCCACTCTTGATAGTTCTCCAGTTATTACCAGGATGCGACTGATTGCGAACCAACGGTTGGAACGGGATGGAGTGCGATAGTCACTCGAGTAGAAGGAAGGTGAACGCACGACCGTGTGGAATGGAGCAGCTGCATCCTGGCTAGTTTTCTGCATCGCATGGCCTTGAACGTCGCATGTGAAGTGTGGTCGAAGTGCCAATAGGCGGACAAAGCACGGTAGCTTCGAGACTTGGAGTGCATGGTGTAGCACACGTGCGATTGTTGGGATTAGAGAGGCAGGGCGGGGTATCTATCTGTGAGTGGGTTGAGTGGTGAGCAGTGGCGCGAGAGATTGGTAGGTCTCGGTATTGCCACCGTCCGTTGTATGCGAAGAAACGGCTGGAACCGGAGGGAGCGCGTATCCAAGTGAGTAGGTGGGAGCTGAACGCATGATGGTGTAGAACGGAGCGTCATAAGACCAGTGATGCCAGGATGAGCTCGAGCGTAAGAGGTTACGTCCAGTAACCCTAGATTTATCAGTGCGGTCACTCTGGGCCACTTTATGTGAAATGCTTTTTCATTATTGTCCACTCCGCTTCACACTTACCCTCCCGCACTCGTCTCATCCACATCACGCCTCTGCAGGTACCTCAAGTATCTGACGAAGAAGTACCTGAAGAAGCACAACGTGCGTGACTGGCTGCGGGTGATCGCGTCCAACAAGGACCGCAACGTGTACGAGCTGCGCTACTTCAACATCGCCGAGAACGAGGCCGACGAGGAGGCTTAAACGCTCACACACGCCCATGCTTCACTCGCAGATTCACCTCTCTCACGCCCCCTCACACTGCTGCTGGACCCACAGGAGCCTGCTGCCGCTGTGCCGCTGCTTATCTCATTCCAGCCCCTATTTTCAGGCTGGCAGAAGTCCTTTTCTGCTTTCTTTGTAACAGTTACATTAGTTGCAGTTCTCAGGGCTCCGAAGCTGTATCTGGTGAAAAGGAATTGCCTGTAAATTGGGTGGGGAGAAGAAAGCAGCGGGTTGCTGAATGTGCCGACCAGATCACCTTGTGTTCAAAATCTCAACTCAGCTTACAAACTCAAACTATGCAAAAGCAAAGGTGCACGTGGTACAGCTCTCCTTGCCTTTCTTATGAACCAGATTAGCCCTTGATTATTGGAATCTTCTTGGAGTGGTAACTGTTCCAAAGTCGAGTGCTGTTTTCAGCGAGTATCACACCAAGTGGGCAGAAGTTAGCGGAACAGCACAATTTTCCTCCACATTCAGTGTGTTGGCTTATTCACGACCCTTCCTAGGTCACTCCTGTTCTCCCGTCCTCAATAGATGATAGTCTCTGCGTCGACTCGCCCTCTCCATCCGTCTCCTCAACCTCGCCCGCACCTTGCGCTCACTCCCTACTTCCTAGTAATTTCGTGTTCAATCTTGTACTGCTCGTCATCTGGCCACGTGCCTCTTGTTGAGCAACGCACCACCTCGTGTCACTGAAAATCCCGTCAAACCGCTAAAGTCGCAAGTCTCTTAGCAGTCGTTTTTCCCTTCAAGCCGCATATCTCTTAAAGCCGCGGCCAGCATGCCGCTATCCTACGAGCACTGGCGGCGGTTCGGCCCGCTAGCGGCGGGTGCGCTGTTCGGTGCGGCGTGGTGGATATGGGTGGACGCCGTCGTGTGCAATTCCTCCACCGTGCCCTTCCTGCACTACGTCCCAGGTACCGCCTCCCCAGGTACCCCCTCCCCCTGCCGCACTGCGTCCCAGGTTTCCGCCTCCCCCTGCCGCACTACGTCTCAGGTACCGCCTCCCCCTGCCGCACTACGTCCCAGGTACCGCCTCCCCCTGCCGCACTGCGTCCTAGGCACCGCCTCCCCCTGCCGCACTGCGTCCCAGGTACCGCCTCCCCCTGCCGCACTACGTCTCAGGTACCGCCTCCCCTGCCGCACTACGTCTCAGGTACCGCCTCCCCCTGCCGCACTACGTCCCAGGTACCGCCTCCCCCTGCCGCACTGCGTCCCAGGCACCGCCTCCCCCTGCCGCACTGCGTCCCAGGTACCGCCTCCCCCTGCCGCACTGCGTCCCAGGTACCGCCTCCCCCTGTCGCACTGCGTCCCAGGTACCGCCTCCCCCTACCGCACTACGTCCCAGGTACCGCCTCCCCCTGCTGCGCTACGTGATTGCGTCCAATTCCACCTTCCCTTTTCCCACCAGCCCGTCCTCCCCCCCTTCCTCATTTGGCCCCCACCCTCCTTACCCCTATCGCCTCGTTACAGGCATATTCGCTACTGTGGCGGCGATGATGTTCAACGCCGTGCACCGCGACGAGCTGCACGACTACTCGCCCTACGACGACGGCGCCGGCTGCAGGTCCCGTCTCCTAGTAGCCCTCCGTGCCCTAGTCCCCTCGCCTCTTGCGCTCCTCCCCATCCTGCTGCCCACTCCGCTGCCCACTCCGCTGCTCTCTCTGCACCCTGCTCTCTCTCCCACTCTTCCCCTCCTCTCATCGTGTTTGTCATTCCCCAGCCCTGCACCACTCACCCACACTCTTTCCTCCTCCGCCCCCCCTTCTCAAGCGACTCTGGCCCCAACCTGCCATCACGCCACAAGTGCACACCAATTGCATATCTTTCTCCCCTGCGCCCCCCTCCCCCACCGCCCTCCCCCACCGTCCCTACCCACGCTCCCCCTCCACCCCTCCGCCCAGGTCGCGCACGTGGCTCTTCCTGGCGTACGTCATCGCCTTTGCATCGCTGGCGGGGGCGGCGGGGATGCTCATAAAGGACGCATCGCCGCCCAGCACGTCCTCCTGGCCCGGCGCTGCAGGCGTCTTCCAGTGCGCCTTCATCATCGCCAGGTGCGTGTGTGCTGCCAGGTGCGTGTGTGCTGCCAGGGCGTGTGTGCTGCCAGGTGCGTGTGTGCTGCCAGGTGCGTGTGTGCTGCCAGGTGCGTGTGTGCTGCCAGGTGCGCTATTTTGGGCCTGTCATGGGTCTCCAATGCGCTTTCATCATCCCCAGCTGTGCGGATTCATTATCTGTCATCTGCCCCTTATCTGCCCGCATACACTCTGCTTCAACCACCCACCTTTCTGCTTACTCGCCCCTGTCTCCCCTCCTCCCCCCCCCTGCAGTGGCCTTGTGTACTGGCTCTCACGCTCCTCAGAGTCATCGCCCTCCTACTTCTGACTCCATGCTCATAACCTCATCTGCCAGTCATAACCACCCACTGTTCTCTCTTCTCTCAAGCACTGCTATTGCTGCTCTCCCCATGCGGCTGCTTCAGTCCTCCCACCATCGCCTACCACCTAAGCTGCTCCCTTTGCTGCTCCTGGGAAGGCAAATGCCTTGCCTGCTGTTGATGGGATCTGCTTCAGGCTCATCTCATCGTTCTCTTTCGAGGCGCCGCCCTCACTACTTGTACAGATGATGCTGGGTATGGTTGTATAGCTGCTTGTGCATGTTTATAACAAACCAAAGTGGGTTCATGCATTATGTGCATGTTTACGGTTTTAAGTCAAATGCCTAAACCAGTTTGATTGTCCGATGGGCTTAAAAACTACCGTCGGCAAAACAAATCGGAATCATAGGCGTCGAACTTTTCTTTACCCACGAACCAAGATGAAAATGATCTATTGAGAAAGCTTGCTTTCTTGTCCTTATAATTTGGCATAGTTCTCATTGCAACAACTGGCATCGTTCTCATTGCAACTGGCTTATTACAACATATGCATCGTTCTTAAACACATGCTAGTACATGCAAATATTACTAGCTATGGAGTCATCCGTCCAAGCAGCTGTGGTCTTGAAGTTGGTCCACGGTGGGTGGTGGGGATGTTGATTGAGCCGTTGGAAAACGAGAAACGTGGGTGGAGGGAATGAACTCCAACCCACGGTTTTTGTAGTTGGAGAAGGGCGTTTAGCGCGCTTCGACGCTGCCAAATATTCGGTACAGGCAGCTTCGCTTTCACAATACACAATTTTGAAAAACATCAATGTGTTTAAAAATTATAATAATGTGTATTTGAACACGAGCCACTCGAATATGCAATAACATTCAGATTATCGAATGCTTTTCCCTGCGCCTACAGGGATTCATGCGTTCTCTTAGTATTTGTCGCCAAAGACAACCGAAATCATAGACGCCGAACCTTTCTTTGCGCACGAAACAAGCCGAAAAGACTCTAATGTCATAATGTTATAATGCTTACATTCTGTAGGCTGTAGTGGGGTAGCCCACAAGGGGTACAACCCAGTTAGGGTTAGTACTTGTACCAACTTTATGTTCAATGCATTCATTCTCGCCCTGCTGCCCGCGCGCCGCCCTGCTGCCTCCGCACTGCCCTACTGGCAGCCGCACCGCCCTGCCGTGCACGCGCGCTGCCCCGCTGGCCGCTGCCCTGCCTTGCGTTGGCCGCGTGCCGCTCTTCCCTAGTTGTGCGCCGCCTCTCCCTGCCCTGCGCACTTCCCTAGTGCTCGAGCGCTGCCTTGCCTGCGTGCTGCCCTGCTGGTCGCGCGCCACCCTGCTCTGCCCGCTATGGCTTTTCTCAGTGTTCTCACCTTCGATCATGAGAGCCGTCCGATCCAGTTCGATACGTGGCTAGACGACTTACAGCTGTACCTACTGAGTGATTCTAGAGACAGCGTTTCGTTGTTTGACCACACGTCTGGAGCCTCTCTCGCCCCTCCCGCCACAGCTGACAGTGCGACTCGCTCACTGTGGCTTACCCGTGACGCTGCTGCTCGCTTAGCCGTTCGCAACCACCTGCCGTTAGCCGAACGCGCTCACTTTGGCCAGCACAAGACTGCTAAAGCCCTGTACGACGCTGTAGTCGCTCGTTACTCTTCCCCTGCCACTGCTGCTCTCGGCCGCCTTATACTGCCCTACCTGTTTCCCGAGCTGTCAGCCTTTGCCACAGTCAAGGACCTCGTTACCCACCTTCGCACTAGCGAGACTTGCTACCGCACTGCCCTCCCAGCCGAGTTCCTAGACAGGAACCCCCCCCCCCGATGTACATCACTCTCTACTTCATAGTCACCCGCCTCCCCGACTCTCTTCGCGCTATCAAAGACCACTTTCTCGCAGTTGACCCCACTGACCTCACTGTCGACCTGCTCGAGAAGCACCTCCTTGCAGCTGAGACTAGCGTAGTCACTGTAGGTGCTGCTCGTGGCACTCCTCGCACACCCTTTTTTGAGGGGTGTTCCCCCTCCCCCTTTGCCCCCTCTTACGCTTCTGCTGCTGCTGCTGTTGACATCCTTGGTGCTGAGGATGTAGGGGCTGCTTCTGCTCTTAGTGGGAAGCGCCACAGCAGCAAGGGCAAGGGTGGCAAGAGTGGTGGCGGTGGCAGCGGGGGTGGTGGTGGTGGAGGCAGTGGAGGCGGTGGAGGTGGCGGAGGTGGTGGCACCGGTGGGAGTGGTGGCGGGAGTGGGGGCTTCGGTGGCGGCGGTGGTGGTAGCGGTGGGGGTGGGGGTAGCGGTGGTGGCGGCAGTGGGAGTGGTGGCGGCGACAGTGGTGGTGGACGAGGTGGAGCTGTTCAATAGGGAGGTTCTGGCGGTGGCCAGAGGCAGCAGCAGCAGCGTCGGAGCGAGACCCCTACACCCCAGCAGCATCGTGAGTGGTTTGCTTAGCATGGGGCGTCTAGGGGTAGTGTTCGCTACTCGTATGTCATTCGCACAGGTGACCGCGCTGGTCAGACATGCGGGAAGTTTCACACACAGCACCGCTCCTTCTCCCGCCTTGACGACGCTTGGCGCGCAGAGTTTGGCAACGAGGCTAAGCGCCCCCACTGGCTAGAGCTGCTTAGGTCTGGAGTTAATATCTTTGCTCTTGACTATGATGCTATCCTTGCTGCCATGTATGCCTTGTCTGTTAGTGCTGAGGGTGATTGTTACCTATGTGTGCCGCCCGACCCAGGTATAGAGGCTGCTGCTCTAGGTCCTAGTGAGTCTGCTCTCCCTGGTACTGCGCTTGCTGAGGCCTTGCACACCTTCACACTTGACTCAGGTGCTTCCCGCTGTTTCATTCGCGACAGTACCACCCTCACTCCACTCCCTGCACCTGTTCCGGTCAGACTGGCTGACCCCTCAAGGGGCCCAGTTCTTGCCCGTTCCTCCACTGTTCTCCAATGTTCGGCGGTTCCGTCCGGCTCACTCTCAGGTCTTCACCTCCCCTCGTTCTCTACGAATTTGGTGAGTACCGCTGCCCTCCATGATGTGGTGGTCACTACCACCACTCCTAGGGGTCAGCGTGTGTCGATCTGCACGTATATACGGACGGGCCGTCACCTGGCCATGTTCACCCGTCGGCCTGGGTCGAATCTGTACACACTGACTGCTGCGCCTCCTTAGGTAGCTGCGTCTGCTCAGGTGTCCGCGTCATGTCCGGTAGCAGCCCCCTGCTCGTGTCGCCTCCTGTCGCACCAGACTCTCCTGTGGCACCACCGCCTTGGTCACCCCTCCCTGCCACGCCTTCATGGCATGCACTCCCGCCTCCTTGTTTCTGGTCTTCCTAGGTCTCTGCCTCCCCTCCCGCCCTCGCCTGCCCCGCCCTGCCTTCCTTGTGTCGAGGGGCGGCAACGCGCCGCTCCTCACTCCTCTTCGTTTCCCCCGACGACTGCTCCCCTGCAGACTCTCCACATGGACGTGTGGGGACCAGCCCGCGTTAGTGGACATGACCGCGAACGCTACTTCCTGATGGTTGTTGACGACTACACGCGTTACACCACGGTCTTCCCCTTGCGCAGCAAGGATGAGGTCCCTGATGTCTTGATCCCTTGGATCCGCACAGTCTGTCTCCAGCTCCGCGAGCGGTTGCGCGAGGACCTTCCTGTCCTGCGTCTGCACTCTGACAGAGGTGGTGAGTTCCTTGCCGGAGACCTCACCTACACTGCGTTGGACGGGGAAGGTTGGCGATGTGTCGATGTTCCGGGTCTCGGGCTCTCATGCCTTTGTCCGCGATACTTCTGCGGACAAGCTCTTCTCCCGTGCCATTCCCTGCGTCTTCCTTGGCTTTCCCCCTGACGCGCTTGGCAGGCAGTTTTACCACCCCACCTCGCGCCGTATCCTGCCCTCTTAGGACGTCACGTTTGACGAGTCGGTTCTCTTTTACCGCCTTTTCCCCTACCGCACTGCCCCTCCCCCCCCCCCCCCCCCCCCCCCCCCCCCCCCGCCGCTCTTCCTCGCTCCAGGTCCCCCTCCGGTAGACCCCCTCCCCCCTCAGGGTCCTGCTCCCTCAAGTGTGTCTCAGGTAGACCCACTCCCCCTGGCTGTGCCTGTCAAGGTCGCTGTAGACTCAGGTGTTGCTAGAGGTGCTGCGTCTGGGGGTGCTGAGCCTGCGACTGCGGAGCCTGGGGGTGCTGAGCCTGAGGGTGCGGAGCCTGGGGGTGCTGAGCCTGAGGGTGCGGAGCCTGGGGGTTACTGAGCCTGAGGGTGAGGAGCCTGGGGGTGCTGAGTCTGAGGGTGCGGAGTCTGGGGGTGCTGAGCCTAGGGGTACTACGTCTGCCGGAGGTCCAGTGGGTGCCTCGGCATGACTGTCTCACCGGCAGGAGACCTCTCTCACCGCAGCAGCTGCGCGAGTGGTTTGCTTAGCGAACACGCGTTAGGAGTGGCCTTGCAGGAGCTGGAGGCTCTGCCACTGGAGGCACTGGAGCTGGAGGTGCTGGAGCTGCTGGTCCTGGAGGTGCAGGTACTAGTGGTACTGGAGTTGCCGCAGCTGGTGGTGTTGGAGGCGCTGGAGCTGGAGACCCTGGCGCTGGAGGCGCTGAAGCTGGAGACCCTGGAGCTGGAGGCACTGGCGCAGGTGGCGCTGGAGCTGGAGGCACTGGAGCTGGAGGTGCTGGAGCTTCTAGTCCTGGAGGTGCTGGAGTTATTGCTGGAGCTGGAGGTACCGGAGGTGCTGGAGCTGCTGGTCCTGGAGGTGCTCGTACTAGGGGTACTTTTGCTGCCGGAGTTGGTGGTGTTGGAGGCCCTGGAGCTGGAGGCACTGGAGCTGGAGACCCTGGAGCTGGAGGAGCTGGAGCTGGAGGCGCTGGAGCTGGAGACCCTGGAGCTGGAGGCACTGGCGTTGGAGGTGCTAGAGCTGGAGGAGCTGGAGCTGGAGGCACTAGAGCTGGAGGCGCTGGAGCTGGAGGCGCTGGCGCTGGAGGCGCTGGCGCTGGAGGCGCTGGCGCTGGAGGCGCTGGCGCTGGAGGCGCTGGTGCTGGAGGCGCTGGAGCTGGAGACCCTGGAGCTGGAGGTGTTGGCGTTGGGGGTGCTGGAGCTGGCGGTCCTGGTGCTGGAGGCACTGTGCAGCGGCGCCCGTTTTTCGTTCCGCCGCAGCCGTCGTCTCTGCCACCACCTGACTCGGTCCTTGGCCAGGTTCTTAGTCTCCGGACTTCTACTGGCCTTACTCCTAGCTTATTGTGTCCACCGCCTAACCAGTCGCAGCCACAGTTACAGCCAGACTCCCCACTGCCTGCTCCTTCTCCTTACGCTGAGCAGACAGAGTCTCTTACAGAGCGTCGTGAGCCTGAGTCTCGTCCTGCCTCACATGTTCGCGCTGTTCGCACTGGTTGTCGTGTTCCTCGTCCGCGTCCTCCTCCTGTCCCCGGCACTCACATTATGGCACTTCGTCCTTCCTATGTTCCACTGCGAGTTCCCCTGCCGCCTCCTCCTGCGTCCTCTCTTCCTGCCGTCCCAGAATCATAGGCGCCGAACTTTTCTTTGCGCACGAGCTGAAATCAGAGGCCCTGGCTGGGTACTGTGTTGATGGAGGCCGCTGGCTGCGTAATCAATGATTATGCTGACCGCAAGTTATACACTTACTTGCAGTGCACCTCGTTATCGTCCGTTGGCCGTCCTGGCACTAGTTCCTCATCAAACTTAAATATTATTTACATTCTCAGAATTGATTAGCCTTTGGTTTTGTATTATTGCTCAACACCCTGTGCCTACTCTTAGCCGTCTTTTTTCCTTTGGAGTGTTGACTCTAGGGTGTGTTGAATTGAGGGTGTGTTGTATCCAGGGTGCGTTGAATCTAGGGTGTGTTGAATCCAGGGTGCGTTGAATATAGGGTGCGTTGTATCCAAGATGCGTTGAATCTAAGGAGCGTTTTATCTAGGGTGAGTTGTATCCAGGATGTGTTGAATTCATAGTGCGTTGAATCCAGGGTGTGTTAAATCCATGGGGCGTTGAATCCAGGGGCGCGTTGAATCCAGGGTGGGTTGATCGAGAGGGGTTGAATCCCGCCAGCCAGCCAGGTCCCCCAAGCCCCTCTCCTTGTGTCTGTACTCCCATCCTCCCATGTGTCTATCGCATCCTCTCCTCTCATCAGCATCACCAAGCACCTCCCACGTACCGAGTTGGTGTCCCTGTGCTTCTCCTGACCTGCTGCTGGGGAGGATTTGCCTGCAGCTGTTTCAAACGTGTCGCGCCAATTGGAGGAGCCTCACAGCTTGTACGGATGAAGTGTGCTGTATGAATTGCGTCAGAAAGCTTTTAAAAAGGGGTTCTTTTGAAGCATCTCTGATATGATACGGTACAGTATCAATTCATCTCTGCACCAGTCATCTTAAGATGCCCAAATCGAACTGCACTAAGATTCAAACTCTAGTCAGCATGCAGGCAATCACATTGTTCGGAGTAACTCTTATCAAGAAAGGGTTCTGCTTTGCTCTCCTCTGCACCGGCCTTCCCACCCCAAGTCCTGTGATTCGTGAATCAGGGTGAGCGAATGAGGCGCCAACAGGCACCCACAGCAGGTGCCACCCACATCCAGGGTCACAGCACAGCAGCACTCTGGACTGGCGGCTGTAATGAGTGCCCAATCAAGTGCCCATCTGACCACCCGCCCCACCTGCCCCACCCGCCCCATCCCCTCTCCCTGCCCCGCCTGCTGCACCCGCTCCACCTGCCCCTGCCCCCTTCCCTGCCCCTCCACCCCCTCCTCCCTTCCCACGCCCTGCTGCCGCTGCTCCCCCTCCCCTGCCTGCCCCTGCTGCCCCACCCGCTCCCCTTCCTGCTCCTTTCCCCCCTCCCTTGCCACCTCCCTTTCCACCTCCTTTGCCCCCTCCCCCTCCGCCCTTCTTCCCCTCCCCTTTCTTTCCCTTCCCAGTACCACCACCAGCAGCACCTTTCACCTCCCCTCCCCCTGCTACTGCCCCCCCTGCTGCCACACTGCTAGCCACAGCAGACGCAGCGCCAGCACCAATACCAGCAGCACCCGCACCAGCAGCACCAACACTCCCGGCACTACCACCAGCAGAAATGCTCATCGTCGAGCCCCTGCCCTTCCCCCCTACCCCACCCACACCGCCGCCCATGCCCCCACCAAACCCCCCATCTCCCGCTCCTTCCCCCCCAGCCCCTGCACCAGGCCCGCCCATACCTCCCATGCCCTGCCTGCCCCCCATACCCATCTCCGCACCCCCATGCTGCGGCCCTGCACCCCCCCAGGAAGGGACTCCAGATGCAGGGATGGACAGGGGTGGCACTCTAGCTGCTGCTGCCGCTGCTGCTGGCCCTGCCAGCGGACCAGAGGCAGGGGATACGGTGGGGGAGGGGAAGGCGAGCGAGTGAGGGAGTGAGGGCGGGTTGCCTGAGGAGGGGAGGCGGAGGGCAGAGAGCGTGGGAGTGAGCGGGGGAGGCATGGTGTGCGGGTGGGAGGAGGGCGAGGAGGGAACGTTGGAGTAGAGAGAGGAGTGAGGGAGAGGCGGGGAGGCCCCGCCACTGGCGGTGGCAGCTGCGCCCATTGCAGCAGAGGCAGGCGGAGGGGGGTTGTTGAAGGGAGGGGAGGAGAGGTGCCTTGGGTCCGACACACTCAGCAGCAGAGAGCGGCGAGGGGCCTGCTGGTTCTGCTGCTGCTGCACTCCCTGCTGCCGCTGTTGTTGTTGCTGCAGTTGCTGCTGCTGTTGCTGCAGGTGTTGCTGTTGCTGCTGCTGCTGCTGTTGTTGCTGTTGCTGTTGCTGTTGTTGTTGTTGTTGCTGTTGCTGTTGCTGCTGTTGCTGTTGAATCTGCTGCAACCGCTTTTGTTGCTGCTGCTGCCGGCGCCGTCGCTGCTGCTGTTGCTGCTGCTGCTTCCGCTGGGCGGCAGAGAGGGGGGAAGCAGACGGGCCACTGCCGGCCGTGTCAGCAGGAGTGCCGCTGAGCGAAGATGACGACACGTTGGGGGAACTCTGCTGCTGCTGCTGCTGCTGCTGCTGTTGCTGTTGCTGTTGCTGTTGCTGTTGCTGCTGTGATTGATGCTGCTGTTGCTGTTGCTGTTGCTGTTGCTGCTGCGATTGATGCTGCTGTTGCTGTTGCTGTTGCTGTTGCTGTTGCTGTTGCTGTTGCTGTTGCTGTTGCTGCTGCTGTTGCTGCTGCGATTGATGCTGCTGTTGCTGCTGCTGTTGCTGTTGCTGCTGCAGGTACTGCTGCTGTTGGTGCAGCAGCAGCTGTTGCTGCTGGAACGTGGAGGCACCAAGGGGACTGTCGGAGGATGCCAAAGAACCCGACACATGCAACCCCATGCCGCCCTGCCCCATGCCGCCCTGCCCCATGCCGCCCTGCCCCGAGCCGCCCTGCCCCATGCCGCCCTGCCCCATGCCGCCCTGCCCCGAGTTGCCTTGCCCCATGCGGCCTTGCATCCCTCCTCCTCCCATCCCTCCTCCTCCCATCCCTCCTCCTCCCATCCCTCCTCCTCCCATCCCTCCTCCTCCCATCCCGCCTCCTCCCATCCCCCCTCCTCCCATCCCTACTCCTCCTCCCATCCCTCCTCCTCCCATCCCTCCTCCTCCCATCCCCCCTCCTCCCATCCCTCCTCCTCCCATCCCCCCTCCTCCCATCCCTCCTCCTCCCATCCCTCCTCCTCCCGTCCCTCCTCCCCCCCCTCCCATCCCTCCCCCCCCTCCTCCTCCTCCTCCTCCTCCTCCTCCTCCTCCTCCTCCTCCTCCTCCTCCTCCTCCTCCTCCTCCTCTCATCCCTCCTCCTCCCACCCCTCCTGCTCCTCCCATCCCTCCTCCTCCCATCCCTCCTCCTCCCATCCCTCCTGCTCCTCCCATCCCTCCTTCTCCCATCCCTCCTCCTCCCATCCCTCCTCCCATCCCTCCTAACCCATCTATCCCATCGACTACCATTTCCCCCCCTCCCCCACTTGTCCTCCTTATTGCTCCACCCATTCCGTCTACTCCCCCTACAAGTGCCCCCATGCCTTCCGCCATGCCCATGTTCATCCCCCCCCCTGGCCCCATTCCCCCGCCTGCCCCCATCCCCCCACCCGCCCCCATGCCAGCACCACCAGTGAGGCCCCCAGCTGCTGCAGCCGCCACAGCTGCTGCCGCTGCTGCCAGCGCTGCCGCCACCGACTCACTCCCCCCCATCTCCCCCATCCCACTCATTCCCCCCATTCCCCCCATGCCCTCCATACCCCCTACAGCCCCAAAACCCCCTATTCCCCCCATCTCCCCCACCGCACTCATCCCCCCGAGTCCAGCCATCGCACCTGCCCCCCCCAACCCATCCATTCCTCCACCAACCATGCCCCCACCACTGCCCATGCCTCCCATCCCTCCCATCCCCCCCATGCCTCCCACGGCTCCCATGGCCCCCATGCCACCCAGCCCAGCCATATCCGTGGGTGCAGCAGTGGGGGCGTGGGGCAGGCCGAGGGACGCAGCAAAGGCAGCCACGGCTGCTGGCGGTAGGGGCGGGCGCGTGGGCTGTGAGGGGCAGCGGAGAAACGATGCCAGTGATGCTGGTGTGCTGAGAGGGGACACGGGAGAGAGAGCAGGGGAGGTGGGGGGGTAAGGCGAGCAGTGAAGGGAAGTGCAGCAGCGCCACTAGTGACACTGGCATGCTGAGAGGGGGAGGGCATGGGGCGGGTATTTGAGAATTTTCAACAATCGCTCAGGAGGGCATGGGGCGGGGTGGGGCACGGAAGCGGTGTGAGGTGTGGATCAAGGTTGAGAGAGCGGGGCTTTCTAGAGATTTGGCAGAAAGATGAGTGGTGCGGAGAGCAGCAAACAGATGGACAGTGGACAGAGGGAGCGGAAGAGCACGATACGAGCACACCGCATGCACGGCATACAAGATAGGAGCATATCGTTCAGAGCATACCCCGTAAGAGCATACCCGATAAGAGGATCAGCCCCGTACAGCATCATCTCCGCTGCTGCCATCTGCATCGCCTGCTGCCGCTGCTCCTCCGCCTCCCCCTCCCCACCCACGCCATCCCCCTCCCCTTCCATCACAGCCCCGTCCCCCACACTCCCCACTCCCCCCACGCCTCCCTCCACGCTCCCCACACCCCCCATGCCCGTGGCAGCGAGGTGCAGCAGGTCACAGCGGTCCAGGCAGGCCCTCAGGGAGCGACCCATGCGGGAGAGGCGGTGGGAGAGGGCGTCTGTGAGCACAGACAGGGCGCTGTCCGTTGCGCCCTCACACCCCAACTGCTGCAGCACCCCCGCCACACACGCCTTAAGCCGCGCCCTCGCCCGCTCCTCTCCCTGTCCCTCCTGCTCTTCCTCCTGCTGCTGCTGCTGCTCCTCCTGTTGCTGCTGATCCGCCCGTTTCTGCACTCCTGCTTTTCTCCCCCAACCTCCACCGCCACCCCCACGCCCACCCGCTCCCCCACGCCCGCCCCCCTGCATGCGCCAGGGGCAGTGGAGGTGCCAGGGCGGGCGGGCAGAGGCTACCACAGGGTCGGGCACGGCATTAGCCAATGCATCCATGTCCCAGTCATCCGGGCACACGCCTTCTCTCTCCCTCTCCTTCTCCCTCTCCCATGCACCCTCCGCTTCACCGTCCCCCTCTCCCTCCTCTCCTTCCACTCCTCCCTCCCTCCGCTCATTCTTCCTCTGCTGCTGCCGCTGCTGCTGCTGAATGAGACGAGCCATGCCGGCCGCGGTGCGCACCAGTGCCGCCCGCTCGCGGAAGGGCTTGGAGGAGTGCTTGGCGCGCTTCACTGCATGCATCAGCCGCCACTGCCGCCGCCGCCGCCGCCTCTCCTCCCGCCTCCCCGCCTCCCCCTCCCCAGCCCCCCCGTCCCCGCCGCCCCACTCCCCTTCCCCGTTCCCCTCTGCTTCCCCCTCTCCCCCGAGAGAGGGGAAGGCGGGGGAAGAGGGGGGGGGCGGGTCAGCGTCCTGGGATGCGGTGTGAGGTGCGCCCAAACCCACCCTGGCGCAATATGGGCGGAGCAGGAAGGGGAAAGAGGACAGTGGGGGTGGGGGGAATGGGGGAGGGAGAGTTGAGAGCTATGGCCATGTGGTGCGATGTGGGTGGCACAGATGGCAAAGGAGGGCATGGCATAACAGGGTTGAGAGCTAAAGGCGTGGGATGGAAGTGGCAGGTGGCAGCATGGCATGGCAAATGCGAGCAGTGGCATGGGGCGGCACAGCAGCACAGCAGCAGCACCTGCGGATGATGGCAGCGCTGAGAGGGCCCTCCTGGTGGCGGATGGCGCGCAGCACAGCCATGCAGTGGGCGGACGGCTGGGCGGCCGACAGCATGGCATGCCATTCGTCCACGTCATCATCAAGGCACGGGTACACGTCATCATCTACTGACGCGTACACGTCATCGTCCATACGCGCCAACCCGCCCTCCGCCGTCTCCCCCCAAGCCTCCCCCTGCGCCTTTCCGCACGCCTCCCCCACGGCGCGGCCCAGCAGTAGCGAGCGCGCGCGCAGCTGCACGCGGAGCATGGCGGGGGAGACATCCGCGCCTGCGGGGAACACAGGGACGCGCATGGCGGAGGCGGGAAAACGGGGAAGGGATTGGGTGGCGGGTGGGAGGAGATAAGATGGCGCGTTTTTGAGTGGGGAAGGCAAGAAATGGCGGCGGTTTGGGAGCGCGGAATGCAGGCAACGGCGACGCGACCTGAGCGAGAGGTGAGGTGGAGGGCACAAAAGCGCACGCGGCGCGCACGACCCCTCACGCGAGAGTGCGTCTATGCTTTGAGACAACGCAACACGCGTGCGCGCCCCCTCACGCTCCCGCGCATTCCCCCGCACTCACCCGCGCCAGCGGCGAACTCCGCCCATGTGCCTGGGTCGCGCAGCCACGGCGCAAGCAGCGCGTGATCCGCTTCCCCCAGCCACTCGCGCCACACGCCCCTCGCCTCCAAGCCAATAGCCACGCCGTAATCGAAGGCCATTGCAGAGGGTTGCGGTCAGTCAGGTACTGATTGCGGATGTGCGGAACGACATTCGACGTGCTTTTATCAAGGGTGAATAAAGAAACCCTCGAGTAATGCTAGTATCAGCAAAGTTGGAGAATAGGTGACAGCTTCAGCATTTCCATCCGTCGATTAGTTCTCACACTCCTACCGCGCAGCGACCGATACTGGAAGTGACGTTTTTTGTCAGGCTGATGAGTCACGGTCGCAAAAGCGGATGCAACAAAAAGAGCATCCAAAAATGACAATGGGGTACTGCGAGAATCGAACTCGCGGCCTCTCGCACCCGAAGCGATACAAGGCAAATCCAGACACCTAGTGCATGGAAAGACATGCAGGCTAATCCTATTGTGAGGCCTACAAATAGGCCTCTGAGATGTCTCAGTGGTCCTCTCCCAAGTAGGCAAAGTCAGCTGCAGAAAGAGAAGTCACCTCGGGTGGTGCGTGGTTGACGCCCTCGGTAAAACGAATTTGTGCACGACGACAAACAGTGCGAGCCTGCTCACGTTGGTGGACCAGAGAAATCCGTTTGTAGAAGTTGGTCTCAAACAGCAGGGGAAGAGAATCTGTAGCACCACTCAAGTCGCGGAGTTGTGACGCCCCTTTGCGGCTACATTGGCGAAGGAAGTTGTTGAACGAAGAGCCGAAGCAACCGAAGGTTTCGATGACAAGGGGAAACAGTTTGATGTCTGGACGGTCATGAAGTGCTTTAGCATAGTGGGTGGTCTTCTCACTTTCACGAGTGGCTGCTGCTGAACCAATCACCGTAGCTGCGTTGGAGTGCGGAAACCCCTTTTGTGGATCAGCAACAGAAACATCCAAGGCCCAGGTGGTACCAGAGCTAATGTCGCGGCACGTGATGTCTGTGCGGCGGCCAGGCAGGAGATGCTGGTCTTCCATCTGCGCAGAGAACCCAAGCTCCAAGGCAATGCGATGAACTTCTCGTTTGATTGCGTCGTGCACCTTAGTAGGCTCGTTGTTGCTAAGGCAGCGAAGGACATGAGAATGGATGGAAGGATCGGTGAACGGGGAGTTGCAGGTGCAGGTGAGCGAAGATGAAAGGTGAGGGAGAGGAAGGCCTAAGCGGATAGCTGCTGCAATGCGCCATTCAGTCTCTGAAAGCTGCATGTGCGGGGAGGATGGAGCCACAGTGAGCCAGTCACCTGCATGCGGGCCCTGCAAAGAGGTTAGACGAGCAAGGCGAAGCGGGGACGTTACTGTGGCTCGAACCTTCTCCAGCAAATCGGCTTCGAGGTGTTGGGAGAGATGAGTAAAGAGTTTAGGAGGGTAGCCCGATTGAAGCACAGGCCATGATGGGAAGCGATCACGAATGTCTTGGGGAAGCATAGTCATGGTGGATGAGATTGAAGGGTCGAGGAGGTTAATGGAGTCCGTGGTGACGTAGGGGCGGAAAAGAGGAGCACCATCAGTGATGAAGTGGGTGGATAAGGTCGAAACTGTCTGCGCCCAGCTACAGAGGTAACTGAGGGGGGCGATGGATGCAGAGCTGCGAATGCCGAAGCCACCTAAGCGGATAGGGAGCGAGGCTTGGAGGCGGGCCGATGTGGACTGTTCAGAGGTGGGATTCCAGTACTCAGAGCCCAGGAGCTGAGAGAAGTGGCTGAAAATGGTGCTGTCCCATGAAGAGAGAAGCTCTTGGATTTCGGGAAAAGGTGCGACAGTTCGGAGGAGGAAAGAAGGTCGGGCAGTGATGCATAAGGAAAGGATCCGTGAGGCAATCTGTGGGTCCTGCAGTTGATGCTGTAAGGGGAGGGAGGAAGTGAAAGAATCGAGTTTGTCACGAACTGTAGAGATGATGTAACCGTCGGAGCCATTAGGAACGCCGGCGACAGTGAGACCGTTTGCAGCGATGGAAATACCCGGGGGCGGAATGCAGTGTTCAGGCAGGTCCATAGGGGCCCATAAAGAGCACTTAGAGGGTTGGACTGTAAGGCCGAGAGAGAGAAGGCGGGAGGTAAGGTCAGTGTATGCGGAAAAGACGTCTGAGGGAGGGCCGACCAAGTAGGTATCGTCTGCGTATGAGGTAATGAAAATTGAGGGAGACTGCTGCTGGACCAAAGCGAGAATCATACCACTAGACCAAGCACCCGGATGACAAAGTGAAAGACAGTTTTTAATTAAATAATAATCAAAGCGGCCCCAAGCTCCCTCAGGAGGTCATTTTTAACCGATTAGGCTGTGGTTCAAAAGGTTACAAGAGCAAACCGTATGAAGAGTGCGTAGTGTCATACCCCAAACGTTTTCTGAACAAGTGTAACTCGACCCATCCAAGAATACCATGTGCGAGATGAGTCACCCCATGACGAAGACAACTGCCTCCCAGAATCGAAATTCCCTTTTTTTGACCAATCAGGCATGAGAGTGGCATCACACCAATCAGCTGAGCCACAGCAACCACGAGGTGGGGCTGGCTACAGGTCAGCGGTGCTGGCGTGGGCGTGGGGTCATCCGCTGACACCCAAGCTCGACCCATTGATGACGTAAACCCCACAGTCAGGTTTGGCGTTTCGTAGGGTTACCACCTGCTGTGCTATGTTCGCGATATTAGCAGGTCGAGCTCTCGTTTTTAGGCGAGCTCAATGGGTGATGAGCACGTGGCGGATGAGGAATGTCAGACGCTTGTCCCTCCCGCCATGATGTTGGATGGATGGAAAAGTGACGGTGTGCGCTACGATTGGTTAGCGCTAACAAGCCTGAATCGGTTCCGATTGGTCAGTGAAGCTTGTAACCGAGACTGATGCAATCGTCGTCCGTCCACCCTCGATTCTGGTTCGCTGGTGGCATACTGAAGGCGTGCGGCTGGTGGAGCTCCAGGGAGGGTCACTCATCACATGTGAAGACATTTCTGGCTGGAAATGTGATGTGGGTGGAGAGTGCCAAAGGTTTGTATTACGTTTCGGCACGGTTTGTCAAGGTCGCAGGATCATTGCACAGATTCCACACCACATGGCGGTTTGATTTGAGGTTGTGAAGAAAACATGGTGTCACTCGGCAATTACACATCCATGAATCACTCGAAAGAGCTGCTTGTGTGACGTGGCGTAGTTTATCAGCTCCAAGCACTAGGCACTAAGTCCAAGTGGGTAGGCGGCTCCACTGACTCCTCTTATCCACCGATAGAAATAGCTTCCTCAGAAGCCTAGCAGCCTTTGGACTGGTCGTGGCACGCTAACTCGCTCATTCTGTTCAGTTGTGTCGACTGTACACTCGAGCCTCGGGCTCCTGTTAGCCTCTGTAAATATCTCCGTTACAGGTTGACCATTCCGCACTCTAACGAATCGTAGCCTCGACTCGTGATAGCTATACACTCAGCCGACAGTGAAGTCGTGCGCGTTACTACTCCGCTGGGGTACAGCCACGCGGGCTGCATGCCACGACCACGACCGCGCGTAGCAGCGTCAGCGTCATCGGTATCATGAGGCGCGGGGACGGGCGCGCAGCGGGCACGTCCCCCCAGCAGGTGCAGAACGCGCACAAGGGGCGCAGCCTGCCGAGCGTGCGGAGTGTGTCGGCGGGGCTGCTGCCGTCGTTCCGCGCCATCTCCAGCTACCTCCGCCATGTCTCCTCCTCCGCCGACTCCCTCGTCGCCTCCGCTGTCCGCTCCGCCTCCGCGTCGGTCGCGGCGGCCATGGCGCCGGGCGACGACAGCCAGAACAAGGAGCAGGTACGCGCCGATGCGTGGTGAAAACAACGAAAAAAAAAAAAAAATTAACGAAGAATGAAAGGAAATATAATCTCGGCGTACAAACGGGTCGAAACGGATAGCGCACGAGTTTCTTTTAACGTCTCGGCTTGGTATTCGATCAATTGCTCGAACTCTTTCGGAAGAAATCGCCTCTGTTGCCAAGTGGGGTGTGTCCTTCCGCTGTCCCGCCACGCCGCAGGTCACATGGGCGGGTTTCGGGTGGTTGGAGCAGGGGTCCTCCCGCGGCGCGTCCGTGCCCGTGTCCGGCACGCGCCACGTGCTCCTCGTGGCGTACACCACGGGCTTCCACGTGTGGGACGTGAGCCACCCACACGCCGTGCAAGAGCTCGTCTCGCGACGCGACGGCCCGGCGGACTCGTTGCATCCCATCCCTTACGTCTCTAGAACCCCCCCGGATAGTCCGCTCCGC